CTTCCCATCCTCTCCGAAAAAAGACTGTGAAAGTTATAAAAGTAAATTATCACTGAAATTGCACGCCATCTCTTTTTTCAATAACCTTCCACAAAAAGAGAGATATTCCAGACAGCAGACTAATGGTTTTGCTTATTCCAATTAGCAATTAATAACAAACGGCCATGGAACAGGGCTGGATGCCAGCTCCCCGAGAGCAGTGAGCGCCTTTCTCCACATGCAGTCTCAGCAGTAACGCTCAGTGTTACCAAACAAGAGTAAAAAGTACTAGAGGAGCAAACGTCTACAACAATCTGTGACCTTAACATTTTTCCAACAGAAAAATCAGTCACAGAAAAGTAATGGTGAGGAATAATTTCCTGATAAATGGTCTAACAATGATGTGTTTAAGATGCCTAAGAGACCCATGAGCCAGTAAAAAACAGCAACAGCAAGCTTTGTGCCTTTGTATGKGAGCTGAAATGGTTAACACTAATATTTAATCATCATAACCATGAGGAAAAAAATCTAAGCATTTGTKTTTGCAATGCCTCTTGGCAGACAAGCATAGAAGTGCATTTACTCCAAGTGTTTTACTTCTGAAAACCAYCCTGAATGAATTGCTGATATTGTGGAGTTGCACCTTTCGTTGCAAAGAGAATCAGAAAGAGGAGAGAAGCAGTAGTTTTCAGAGCTGTTCTACCACAAGAAAGCCAATCTGGAAATGTCTGCTTACTTAGGAATATCTGCTTACTTAGGATTTTTTTTGGCCATCGTTTCAGTGGTACCTGAATAATCTGCTCGCTATTCACTGCAAACGAGTTATATGCAGCAAGACAAAAAAAAAAAATAACAGCATTTTTGAAGTGTCCTCAAGAACTTTGCAAGTAAATCATCTTTACCAGCAAAGCCCAAAGGAAGACTGCTCCTCTCAGCCTGTCCCTCAATTTCTTGGCRAGATTTCAAACAAATTCTTCCAGCTCCCTTTAATACATCTGCTCCTGTTGCCTTAAGCAGGGAAAAGCAAGTATTCCTTCCAGGGAAAAGTAWTCCTTACCCAAAGAGAACTTGTTCTCTGCTGTTGTTAGCCAGATGTGATGAGCTTGTGTAWGTCTGGCCTTCTAAGCAAACTACCTTTTAGCCCACTAGTGCAAGGCAGTGAGACATCAGCTTCTGATGAATTTCAGATAACTTCTTTTGTAACAGCACAAGCCTAGGAGAAACAGCTCAAAAGTAACTGCTCTTCACTACTAGACAGATTTATAATGCTCGAAGAAACATTCAGCTCTGCTATTTTTAAGGGYTATCACCATGCCAATCAGACTGGCATGCTAATCAGATTGCCCATCCAGTTCTGCTGACAGGGGTAGCAAAAATAGTATTCCTCACTGCCATATCACAGCTATGTGCCCGTTTTCCAGATCTCCAGCATCTTAAAAGCCACTCGTGGATTCTCCAGCCTCCAGAGCAAATCAGAGAAATGAGCCCATCTTTACAACACATATATGTTTTTCATATATTTTTTCAATCCAGAAAAATAATGACTTGTTCTTACCTTCAGAATCTTATTTTCAGTGTAGAGGTCCTCTCTCAAATGCAGCTTCACCATAGAGAATGCAAAAAGCCAAAGCTCCCACTCTAGGCTACTCCACCAGCAGAGGCAGATCTGATTTAGGAGGGTTTCACATAAAGATCCACCTGCGCTACTGCTAGTCCCGGGCTCCCACGCTCCTGCTCTGCCCAGAGGCCTGGGGTTGCACCAGTTCCTTTTTTTTGGGCTGCTTTATTTCTGTACCGGCTCTGGTAACTCCCCTCTCTGATGCTGTTTGTTTTTAAAATCATATTAATTCACCAACGCAGGTTAAAAAGCAACTTACCCAGGTAAGTGCAGGTCAGAGGGGCAGGAACTAGCGGGTAACATGACAAAACAGAAGCCTGTGTGGGAAGATCCACCACACAATGAAAAGAAACATGAAACCACAAGCTCACCCTACTAACTAGAGGCGCTGCCCTCACACTGAAGCACTGAGAACTAAGCTTCTTGGTGTAAACAATAAGCACACTTGTTCTGACACTAACTTAATATACTGCCAGCTGCACATGGCTGTGGCACTAGAAAACTATATTCAAACAAATTCAGAATGGTTATGCACTTAATTTCAATATCATATTTTGAACCCTTAGCACAGAAAGCTTGGAGATACAAATCTTCTCACATCACATTTACATGTATTACATGAAAGCCTTTTGTTTGATCATATCCATCAGAAACCTTAAGTTTGCCTTTCTTGTTACTGTCCCTAGCCCTGCTACTCATTCCTYCTCTTGGATTATTGTCTTTCAAAGAGCAACAAATACCCATGCCCTTTTATGTGCTGAGAAAATACAGCGAGATGGTWCTTTGCATTGCTCCATGCAGCTGTTTAACTCAAAACTATTATTTTCTTTCTTTGCATTTTTGTACCTACCTCTCATGATTACAGATAACACAAATGCACTGTTCATTCTTGCCCCAGGAATCCCAGGAATGCAACAGTGAGACTGGCCTAAGYGTCTCCGGCAGCAGTGATGCTCAGCTGGGAGAGAAAGGGAAGGCAGGTGCCCTTTCTGTTCTGAGGCTGCGTGCAGATGTGCTCCTGACACCAGAACAAATAGAAAGGTGGCTTACAGTCAGATAACAGGTTAATAGTCTTAAAGCTSTGTGTCTCAATTGTGTTGAAACATTTGTGCAAGTCTGGGCCATTTTCATGAAAAAGACAGTGCAAAGAGGAGGTCAGTGATACCCTTGGATAAGGCATAAAGATTTTCTTGCCATCCTTCCAACAATGATTAAGCCTAAGAGGGTGGGAAAAATGAAAAGTTTCTACAAGTAAAAAATGAAAATAAGTCATAGTGCCTTGGCAGGGCATTTTCAAAATACTATCCTGGATGGTTCTTTCTCTAGTTTATGTAGCAGCATGAATGGGGTAAATCACAGCAACACCGGGAAAGGATGGGAAAAATATGGGAATACCTGGAGCCAATGGACACTCCAGTGGGGCCTGTTACATTTCCATTCGACTGCTGAGCCCGTGGGCACTGGCTACGTGAACAGTAACACTCTTTGCATCACAGGTTACCCCTTYTCTCTCCATCAGTCTGTACCAAGTGTTGCCTGTATTTGGCTCAGTAACTGTTCTAGCCAGAACTCCTTCAGAGCACGGACAGTACAGGAACTCTGCAGCACTAAAAGAATTCTAATTCAGCTAAGCTTGGCAGCACAAATCTCTTATGTAATTTGTGATCTAGAGGACAATCTGATCATCTGGGAATATTAATGTACTAGGAAGAATACATTAAATAAAAATGGCAACGTTCCACTACAAACTTTTTCTGTTTGCTTTTCATTACGTAATGTCTCTGGAATGATAGCATGCACTAATCAGAAATTCTTAATATCAACATAAAATGCTTTTATAACTACTGAATTACAGTACAGCAATATATAAGATTAAATGTTAGCTCTAAGTACATGCTTACCAAGATCTCCATGAACTCTGGTGCAGCTCTGAGGTGCCGGAGAGGGCATCTGCTCTAAATCTAAAGCAATGGGTCTCCAAGACCCTCTGAGGAAGAGGGGTTTTTATGGAAGTTGACTGTTACATCAACCAATTTTACACCAACTCTCTCATGAGACTGAAATATTTGAGATCTTCAGACAGAACCAAAATAAACTCATGCTACTCATATCATTAARGCAAAGTCAAAAGCAAAAACATTTTTCCTTCCTTTTTATCTGAGATATATTCTAATGTGCAAAAGCAGCTGCATAATAACCGAATACAGAGAAAAGCTGTATTCACAAAATAATTACGGAGAGGTTCACACTACTTACACATATGTTGCTCTTAAATAAACTGCAGTATAAAACTTCATTCAAAGCCAGTTCAAGCATCAAACCAGCATGCAGTTCAACTTCAGACAAGCACCTCTTGCCTCTGCACAAGCTGTTTTTCCCAGCATGAGAGCAGGAAGGATTTCTTCCAGAACATGCTCCCCTCTAACCACGGCTGTGTCCCACGGCTGCTGTCAGATACTGCAGATCACTGCCCTCCACAGCAACAATTCCATACGATCATAAATATTTCTTTTCACAACCATTGGGTGATATGTAACTTTTCAGGTTACTGCATCCCTTTTAAAACTGTATGGATTACAGCTCTTTTCTTAACCATCAATGGTAAAAAGCCAGAGGAGTTTCCAATTCTAGACTTCCAGACTTTGGCATCCTTACTGACAGGAAAAAAATGGCAATTCCCCTTTCTTTCAGTGGGAACTCTGCTTATTTCACCCAGACAAAGCTTTTAGTAGATATAAAATGTTCCAAAAAATTTACATTTTAGCAATTGTAGAATGTCAGCAAAATGTATGTCAAATGCTCAAGAATGAATAGCTAAGAATGACAGGAAACTCATTGACAAGTTTTTCATTCTCGTTGAGAAGGCTGCAAAAGCATCRAAGATTCCTTAGAAGAGTAAGCACTTAGACAGGTTTTAGTTAAAATCCTACTCTGTATCACAGTAACATTCTTTGTTACTTTGAAGTGCTATAAAGAATCCCTATGCAGAGCAAACACTACTCTTTATAACAGTATTTGCTTTCTTATATAGATATTAWCCAAGGCACAAAAGAAATGCAGAGCCACGATCAGACCCACATGKTAAAACATACCAATTTAAAGTCCTATCTCAAACCACTGATGAAGAGAAAAGAGGGCCTTTTGATTTTTCCAATTTTACACATACTTATTCAAGGACCAATTTCAAACTCAGCACTTAAAGGGCTGACTAACTCAGGAAGTGACGAGACTGAGACCTGGCATTAGAAATTGCTACTCATTTTATTGCCTTAAGCCACCAGATGTTGTGTGCAAAACCTCTTTAGAGGCCGACAACAGCTCATCAGTCCTATTGCAAAAGTAAGAACTGATAGAGTAAAACATTAGACTTTCATAGGCAAACAGTTTGTGATTTAATCTACCCTACTGTACACGGGAATAAATCTCATAAAGGACAATTGTACTGAAACATAAAGAATAGTACATCCAAGTGAAGGACACAACAGTTTGGGATGAAAATAAATACATACAAGCACAGAACTAAATGAAGATACTACTTTTGGAAGGTGGTAAACTCTTATTTTACAGATCCATAAAATAGTGCTATCAGGCAAATAGAAGACTCAAGATATAGCAACACAAAAGCCTTTAAGTTCAAGGATCTGATTTCTGAGGATTGTACAGTTTCAGTCTATTCAATAAGAACCCTTCTCACTCATTTGGAACTTCCTCAGTTGCTACAAACCATTATGTTTCAGTGTTAATGTCAGYGCTAAAACAAAATTCCTGTATCATACACATTTCTTGCCAAACCATCATATTTTCTTCAACTTGCATTCCAAGATGTAGTATCTTCTAGAAAGCAAATTTCACAAATGGCTTGGGTGAGAAGTTACTGTACAAAGTTGCAGAAGTTCATGAAAAGATCCATCAATATAATTAGACAGAGGTTTGCTTGTAGTTCTTCGTGTCCAAGACTTTCTTGCCACACATTGAGCAGATGCCTATAACCACACAAGAAGTGCAAAAGTTACTTACATCAGTAGGTTTTCTTTATAGCATAGTTATGTTTTTGTAAAGACCTTTTTCCAAAAATAATTATCAATGAGAGCCCATTAAAAAACTGTATACTTTCTCACAGATACTGCAAATTCAAAAGTAGCAATATGTCTTCTAATACAAATTAGTATTTGCAACAAATGTCTATGTATTTCCACTTAAAAAAAATAAAGCTCTACTTTGAGAGCACATAAGAATGCCTGAGGTCTCCTATTTTACTGAAATACTCAAGAGTCAAGAAAGACTCCTATCTGGTAGAGAGGTAAAAATGTCATGTCATGCAACTTTGCAAGTCTGGTAGTGAAACTGAGAGTCAAGATGGACAGAAAGCAACGAAGCTAAGCAAATTTACTCATCCACATAAGATGACTGCTAAATGAAAGACTAACGGGTGGGAAATATCAGGCAATTGAGAAAGTTGGGAATACAGACTCATTTAATTAAGCTCTTTACAGAGAAGTAGAAGAGAGGTAAAGTAGATATCGAGAATACATGTGAACTGAAACAGAGATGACCATTGATGTCCTAGGAGACTTTAACCTAAGACCAAAGAGCAGTAAGCAGAACATATAGAGCACGGAAAAGTATACAAATTGGGCTTTTTTGTTTGTTTTTATTTGATTGTTGTTAGCTTTCTTCTGGTGGTCTAAATATTTCTTGTCTTCCATCTAAAACAGAAAGATGTCAAACTCTTGCCTGCTAGGGCAATATGTCATTTTACAAGACCACACATCAGCAAATGTAAGAACACCAAGTGATAGCTACTCTGGTTGCCTTGCCCCAAGTCAAGTGCTTTCACATACAGACATCACGTTACTAGACACACAGCTAAGATGCTACTAGGAAGTGTAACAGCAGGGAATATGCCACATGATTTAGTCTGCAGTGCAAAGTCCAKCCCATAGGCTGTTTACCACAGGTATAAACAGGATTAATTCACTCTGGAAAGGTTGAAGAGTCTAGATTTCAGAGACACACAACAGTTGAAGCACTAAGTCGCTGAGTCACAAGCCATGCCTGTTTCAAGRAACAGGTCACAACCACAGTCTTTGATGGTCAGAACTAGAACATAAAGTAGTTAAAGTTCTGACTGTTATGAAGAAGTAAGTTTCTACACCAACAGATACATRAGCAGACAAAGCAGAAGTCCTGAAGCTCACCCAAACCAACAAGACTTAAGAAAAACAAGATATTATTTCAAATGAGCATACAGCAAAGACAAAAAAGCACATCAGTGCTACAGCAGGTTGCCAACCCCCTGACACTGCCTCTTATTTTATTGATAACTGACACCTCAGAAAAGTCTGGTTCCAACTGCTCTAAATCCTCCCATTAGTGGCTGAAGRTAACAATTAAATCTCACCTTAGCCTGTTCTTGGTAAGGTTAAACAAAAGCTGCTTGCTCACCAGTTTCAAACCAATCCTCAAGCAATCTCACCTTTTTTATAGGCACATCCTTGACAGTAGTGAGACCCTGGCTGATGGACAGAACTCTTACAAATCCGACATATTGCAAATTTGTTCTTCCCATAAGGATCGAACCTAAAAATAAGGAGAAAGGAAGCACGCTCTGTTTATACACCATGAAATAAAGTGTTTCCACTACCTCATTTTAAGAAGTCTAACTCAGAAACCACAAACAGAAATGCGAGGGGAAACTATGATTTAGAAGGGGACAAAGATTGTTTCAAATAGGTTGCATCTTAGTCTATTCACCCACTATAAGAGGTCTCCTGCATTATAAAAACACARTATGTCTTTTGATTGAGATACTACACTACTGCCAATCAAGCACCTCCCATTAGAGACTTGCCCCCCCAGCAAAAAATGAACTAAATCTGGCAAAAGATAATAAAATAGCTGCTGGGCACTAAACATTGCCAAAGAGCATGTAGAGGTGGTCTTGGCATGAAAGCTAATTTCTTCCAGCTTTTCTTCTAATGTGAATAACAAACTTAACATTCAGTTTTTGTGAGAACTACAATAATATATGTTCTAGGCGACCCTGCCTTTGCAGGGGATTGGACTAGAGATACGTTCCAACCTTAACAATTCTATGATTCTATGAATGTATTTGGTTCAACATAAAAGCATCTGTGAAATATGTAAAAAACATGTTTTTACTAACTATTCACTAATAACATGCTGACGCACCTTCAGAGAACTTTATTTCAAATGTATGTTTTGGACACGGTTTGCATAGCTGCCTAATTGCACAGGAAACCACCAAATAAAAACAGGATTAACTACTAACCTTGCCTTCTTTGAAGTCAAAGCCTTGTTTTCATTCAGCTTTCGGCCACCGCTTTCTACAAAAAGAAAGAAGTTGGTTTCCCTGTTTCAATCGTGCTTGGGAAAAGCTTAGTTTGCAAGTTTGGCATAGCTGTAAATGCGGCCAGAGAGGGAGGTAAATCAGGTAAGCACATAACACATGGGATTAAAGCACAGAACAGGAGAACTCCTTAGGTTCTGTTTGGGCATCATCACTCCACTCCCAGGCGGGGCCGGGGTGGGGGGGAGCAGTATCCCAGGCAAATTTAGCACTAAAAAGCTCACGGAAATAACTCCCCGCTGGACTAAACTAAGGCGCAGGACTAAGCTCGCCGCGGCTGCTCAGCGGCAGCAGAGGCACCAGAGCGGCTGCGGCCGGGGCTGGGCCTGGCGGGCGCGCAAGCGGCTCCGGCGGCCGCGGCGAGCGGCGCCACGGCGCGAGCGGGGCCGCGGGCTACCTGTGGTGTTCCTCGCGCCGTCCTTCCACGTGTCGGGCGTGATCACCGTGCCCAGCTTCCTCTCGCCTGCGGGGAGACACGCGCCGAGCGCCGCGCTGAGCCGGGCCCAAAGCGGCACCGGCCGCGGGCCCGCAGCCACCTCCCACCCCAGGGCCCCCGCCGCCGGGACATGCCAGGGGACATCCCGAGACGCTCGGATCCCAGCACATCCCCATCCCAGGACAGCCCGCTCCCAACTGCTCCCGACCCCACTCACACTTCTCGCACACCATGGCGGCTCCCCCAGCCACAACAAACCGCCACTTCCGGCCGCGCCCCTCGCCGGAAGTGACGCGCCCGCCGGGCGACCGTTGCGGCCGTTGCGGGGCGGCCGCGGCGCGCGGGGGCGGCGCGGCGGGAGCGCCATGAGCGAGGCGGGCGTGCGGAGGCTGTGCGCCGCCAACCTGCTCCGCGGCTGCTCCGTGCTGCTGGCGGCCACCGCGCCGCGCTTCTTCCTCGACGGCTTCTCCGTGCTGGGCACGCCGCTYACCTGGCTCTGCGCCTGCTCCGTGTCCGTCAGCGCCCTCAGCGTGGTGCTGAACGCGGCCCTCGGGCCGAGCCCGCCCCCGCGCAGAGGCTCCCTCGCCCATAAGGTAGGGTTCGCCGTGCSCGGCGGGGCAGAGCTGGGCTCTCTTACGGGGATAAGCAAATGTAAAAGAAAAAACGACAGGTTCTTTGGTGGTGAAACCTTGTTTTCCGTGAGTGAGCTGGGAAGGAAGGTCCCCAACGGTGTCCCTGCATTTYTTTTCTACCCATGGGTAATCATAGAATGCTTAAGRTTGGAAGGGACCTCAGAGGTCTTCTAGTCCAAGTGTATCATCTAGTCCATGTGTACCAGTGAGCGATTCCATGCCTTTCCTTCTCCATGTCATGCACTGTGGCTTGCAGTCTCGGTCCTTGATCCTTCAGCAGCTTATGTGCTGCCAAAAACTGGGCAAATCTGAGTGGTGCAGGTGTCGCTTCAGGAGTCTGAAGCCGCCTGTGTTGAAGTGATGCTTTTGTYCTGAGTGGTCAGAAGTTACTAATAGCTGAAAGAAGAAAAACACTTTTTAAAAAGCTGTTGGTGCTCAAACAGAAAACAACTCGCTAAGATTTAAGTCGCATCTGTTTAACACAAACCAAATTTAAAAGATGATGAGAAATAGCACTGAAATGCTTGCATTTTCTTGAGCAGCTAAATCTGCCCAGAGAAGGCTTTAAGCCCRGGATTATTATAGTTACAATAAAGGCGGGAGTTCCAGTAATGCACTCGTGAACAGAGCAGATCTGGAGCAGCYCCGGACTGCTCCAGGAGTGATGGGACCCACGTGCAGTCAGCAGTGAGCTGGGCAGTTTTGTTGAATCAGGCAAAGCTTAACACTCTTAAGTGATGATTAAAAAGTTATGCAAATGAAGCCTCCATCCCTGACAGCAACAGCTTTGCCTGTAAAGCTGCTATCTAGTCTTGCTGACTGACGGGGGAACATGAGATATACGGAATCACTGTCTACAATAAGCATGGACATCAACCATGTGCTTTAAAAAAACCCCACACAATACAGCAAAGCAGACCTCAGGTTTTAGGTGAGATTTCATCCCAAGGGAGAGTACAAGTAGAAACCATGAGCTTTTATTGGTGAATACCAAGTGGCTGTGTTTCTATATAGCGTACTGGATATCCAGAAACTCTTGTTTAAGTCATGGAAAACTAGTGCATTTTGTAGCTTTAAAAAGTCATAGACAGACATTTCTCAGGTAGATTTAGACTTGAGGAAGACAGTTTAAAAATACAGTGTGTTTTATTTCATGTAGTTGTAAGTATTGCATTTGATTCTGAGTATCTTATATATATATATAAAAATATACTTTATAAATAGTTTTGCGTATTCTACGAAGCTGCTTTTTAAACATATGGATATAATGCTGAAACGTAAAACAAATACGTGCAAGACTTTCTGTTTATCTTGTTGTTTTCAATTACTTTTTGTATGCATGGWTTATAATAATATGATAATGAGAAGATTTTTAGATCAGATTGTAACCATGTTTTTAATCAATGTTTTTAATTACAAACCATGGAGAAAGTTGTTGGGAAACGCACAGGGAAACAGGAAACGCACACATCATAGTGTGCAGTAGTTGAAATTATGTAAGGAAGTAGACAGAATAAAGTGGTACTGATAGGATATTGACTATATACGCAGCTCATTGTTCTTTTTTATTTTGAAGTGTTATTCTAATATTTTGTTGCTCTTTTTTTAGATATCCAGATTTCTAAAATGCTGTATGTACTTTCTCATGTCTTGTATACTGTTTCATGCGATTGTTGTTCTTTATGGAGCACCTCTCATAGAGTAAGTTGGAAGAGCCTTTCTTTCCCTAAATGTTTTAAGGGGCARTTCTTGCAGATATTGGGATAAGTACTTAATATTTGGGAATTAAATGCTAACCTCCTGGCTGGGGGAGGAGGARAGGCAGTTTTTCACAGAAGTGAAAAGAAGTTTTCTTGTAGTGTTACCTAGTTGGAGATGTGCAGGTGTAGACATACTTGACACTTGTATGTCAGGTATATTGTTACAAACATTTTCTGAGTTTCACTCTAGTCATTTTTCTATTAAGACTCTAGAATGTACCTGTCCTGTATCTTTCACCCTCTTATTAGTATTTTAATCTACGGGGGTGATTTTTTTAAAAAAAGAAGTCTGTTTGACGTCTCTCCTAACTGATTTTTGAGAAAGGTGATATATTTCAAAATAGTCATACGACATGTAGYTTGGTTTCATGGTTACTTCTATTAAGTCAAACTAGAAATATTAATGGAGTAATAGAGTAAATATCCAAATCTACTTAAACTAGAAAATAACCTTCCGTGTAAGATATTCCTGTGTTTGTTAAAATGTTACAGGTATTGGACAGTTAAAGTAAGCTGCTGCATTTCAGATTTTGTTGGGATAAGGAATCGATATTAGAATTCTGTCCATCTTTCTTTTCTCTTCTACACAGTAAGAATTAAAAAAAACCCCTCTTTTCCTTACATAAATTTTAGAAAGAATGCATGCTTTAAGGTTGACTTAGAGTCTTTTTCTTAATTCTTGAAACTCTTAGAAATGTAGCATTTCTACTTGAGTTAATTTTGTTGCATTCCTTCTTTGTAGGTCAGTGACTGAGACATTTTTGTTTGCAGTTCTCCTWTCTACCTTTACTACTTTACAATGCTTGTGTGTGCTGGGACCAAACATTCAAGCATGGATACGGGTATTTAGTAAAAATGGGTAAGTTCCATTTTAATTTTTCTCTGTTCTTATCCATGGAAGAAATAGATGGACTGGGCTTGTCATAAACAATATATCATGGAGTTTCTTGTAAAGCAAATAAAACATCCTGGATTATAACTTAYTTTCATGTTCATAATTAAGGGATTGTGATTTTCTTTTTTCCTGGCAAAGAAAACTCTTAGCTATCTTGAAGACAATACTGAATTGGAAAAGTGGCTTTTTTATTTCTAGTGTACAGACTGGAACTGTGAAAAATTGGGGGAGAAAAAAACCCTATATGCTTGTGGTTCTAATAACGTGGTGGTATTAATGCCTTTGTATTGTGTCCTAAATGTGAACTCTAATTTCAACAAAAATTAAAGTTGTATAACTCCGCTGACATAAGGAGTTGCTTTTGATTTAAACTTGGATGTTCAAAGCCAGCAGTGGGTTTTTTTTTTGCAATAGTTTAATGTATTGTCTTTTGTAGTATATTAGTTTTCAGCTTACTGAAAAATATCTTCAATCCTGACTCAAGTCAGTTATACTAAGATTTTATTTTCGTTGAGCAGAGTAATTGAAATGACAATTTGTAAGAATTTATGAACAATATGGAGTCATTCASCCAGAACAAATTATTAGTGATTCTTTTAGTCGTGTCTGGAATTTTGCACGTGGAAATAATAGATGCATTTAAGTAACCTATGTTTTACTGCAGTCTTCCTTTGTGTCAGGTTAGATTTTTAGTATATGTCAGTTTATTTCCTTCCTCAATATTATTTCTGCATAATTATTGCATAGGCAACAGGAGTTCTTTGATTCAATGACAACTTGCATATACCACTTACTTCCTAGTGAGCCATGCAATATTATCTGAATAAAGAGTTTATTTAATATAATGGTGTTTACATAGACTAGCCTCTGTATGAAGGCAAACTAGAAATAAATTCTGTAGGAGTTCTTTATGCAGTGTAGTAAACTGCTTTTTTTAAAAATGATTCTGTAGTTTTTCATTTGGGTGTGTAAATGAGTTGGAGTCGGGCATGAGCTGAGTGTAGGCAAGGCTTATTGCCAGGTTGTGTCCCCGCACTCCACCACGAAGGGTAAGATCAGGGAGCCTGTTTGCTTGGGAGGAAGAGTTCGGTGAGCTGAATTGCACAGGGGCTGCAAGTTGGAAAGTCTGACTGAGAGCATAGCTTGGAGCAAAAAAGGACTTCGTTAAAAAAAAAAATCAGGACAAGCTTAGGTTTAAGTATCAGATCGGAGTTTATTTTTATTACTTATTTGCCCATGCAGTCTTCATCAAGGTGCACAGGCAAGATCAAGGTGTGTTTTTGTTCCTAAGAAAAGCAGAAGAAGAAATCTAGTATATAAAAAGTAGAAAAAGGTGAAATATAATATTATCCAGCTCTTGCTCTCTATCATTTTGAAAAAATTCTAATGTTTTTAAGGTAGTCTAGRATGGAAATACTGATGTGCATAAGATCTTCTCCCAAGACTCTCCCGAGAGTTGCATTGCAGTGCCTTAYTATATAGAATCTGTTCCAACATTGTGACTAAGGTGCAGCTGAGGCAGTTTTGCATAAGTCTTTTGAGGATGTTCCCCCAAAGTGCTTTTTCTTTACAGATGCCCCTGTCTTCATTTGTAGTTTTTAAAAGCTGCTGGTAAAATCAGTTCACATTATTCCAAGGTCAATCTTTAAGGTCCCTTTGCTCTAGAAGAGAGATTAGTCWCATGATAATGTGTGTTCTGTGGCACTGCAGGCTTTTTATCTGCCTTATAAGAGTTTGGTGATATTGAAGCTTTTTGGGTTTATTTTTGAATAAGTGAAACAATTGCACAAAAGCTAGTTGCAGCTCAGACAGAAAATTGCACATGCTTTGTGCTTTCAAATTGAGTGCACTTCTGAATTGGAAACATTGATTTGATAGACCAGATTTTTTTTTCAAGTACTTTTATTTAAAGGATTCCAAACAACTAGTTCTTACCTTAGTTTTTACAGTCTATGTACATGTGGGATGTGTGAGGAAAAAGTGAGCTCCTGTATTCTCTGTAACAATTCTCCTGTTTTAGGTAGGATGTAAACAGAGCCTCACCTTCCCTCCTGCTCCACTGCCCAGTCCTGCACTGGGGAATAGGTAGGTTCTGTCCAGCTGTTTCTGGACACACCGTGTTCTGACATCCAGTGTTGCGGCCAGCGTCATGACTCTGATCCCAGGTAGTTGTGCGCCTCTGTGAGCAGATAATGGGAAATAAAAGCTATCAAAATCGTTGCTGGTACTAATGGGGGTAGGAGCCTGCTCTTTGAGTAGCTCTTCAGTAATTGTCAGCTAAAAGAGCATTGTGTGCAAAAGCCCTTAGCATCGCCTTGCTTCTTCTGGGGCTTCTTCTGGGGCTGTTCGATTCAAGCCGCTAGTTGGGATAATTGTGTTGAAATTTCTAGCATGAGAGCAATTACTAGATGTCACCAACAAACCGTCAGGCCTGAGTAGGCAATATACAGTGTTTGGAGCTCCTCAAGAAATAGTACAACACTGTGACTTTAGGGCAGGTTTCATTTCTTTTCGTTTCTCCTATTTCATTCCTTGTGTACTGCGTGCTTTTCTAGGCTTGGAAATGGCATTTGCAAGGGCACACATCACTGAAGTGCTGGGCTGCTTCGTAGTTCAATGCTGCCATAGTGCAGAATTTTGGATCTTATCTACCCAAGGGCTGTCTTAGTAATAGTGAAGTGTTAACTGATCTCTTACTGCAAGCATTATTTAAAATAGCACTTGAGCTATTGCGTTATTTAACAGATTAAAATACTGATTATGGGCTGTAAAAGGCTTTTGTGTTACCTGTGCTCGATAATCTTAAACATCACTAGATTTGCTTTAGAAAACATTTGCACATATATATAATATATATATATATTTTGCACATATATGTATATGTATATATGTATATGTATATATGTATATGTATATATGTATATGTATATATATGTATAATATATATATATATGCGGGATTTTTGTAATAGGTTATCAAATAACTGCTAATGCCCTGGTGGATGATGTTGCGTGCAGAGAGGAATAAGCAAATAGGTGTTACCACTCTATATGTATATGTATATATATGTATAATATATATATATATGCGGGATTTTTGTAATAGGTTATCAAATAACTGCTAATGCCCTGGTGGATGATGTTGCGTGCAGAGAGGAATAAGCAAATAGGTGTTACCACTCACGTGTAGAGACGCTGGCCTCGTGCTGGAGGACACACAAGGCCTTGTTCAGGCAGCCATTGTTGGCACTGTTAATGCTGTGAAGGGGATGAATTAGCAGCTCAAACTGTTGCTGTTTAAGCTRCCGATGACTTCCTTCTTGGCTTGGGCACTGTGCCGTGCCAGTGCTGTCCTTTTGCTTTTGGATCCAAGGGGCAGCAGTAAGTGTGTAGCCTAACCAGATAAGGCAGCCGTGCAACCTAACCAGCATCTGTGAGCTTTGGAGTTTGCTGTCCCTCTAGTATCCTACTCCTAAAAATGCCTTTCTTCTCTGGTCTAAAGCAAGGCTTGCTCATCATCCAAGAGGTGACAAACTTGGATCCAGATCTCTTACCTTTCCCATTTGGAGGGGAAAAACCCAGGGGCTCAAACCCCAGGTCTCCTGTCTCTGCATGATGTTTTGCTGTCTGCTGAACATTTGCTATACTTTCTTGTTTCTTAGCTGGTACTAAGTTCTGCAGTGCTCGTGGCCCCTGAAAGCTTGAGAATCACTTGCTAGAGCAGTGATGCAAAATAAGTGCTTCAGGCACGATTAAGCAGGGAGCCAATTGTTCACAACTTGGGAAATGGCTGGAGGTACAAGGCCGTGAACTGAGGACTGGAGTCATCAATACCTGCAGTGATGCAGTCTGCACCGTGATTGCTCTTGCAGAGTTTTTCAGTGTGCAGTAAATTCATCCTTCAGCCACTCTAGCTGAACTTGAAACTTTGACCTGGAGGCCTTCTGTGACAGGTCAAGTTGTTGAAGAGCTGCAATACGCAGACTGCTTTTACTCTTCGGTATTTTCAGTAATAAAAATTTGTTTTGAAATATTTACATAGTGAATTTTTATTTTAAATTTCAAGGCGTTGTAGTCATCAAATTAATAACAACATATCTGCACCCTAGAGTACTTTGCAGTTGTGCTTGTACCTTTTTTACGCAGTCATTGGTTTGGGTTTTTCCCCCTTGTGATGCCTGCAGTATCTTTTAACTTGCTCAGCCAAACAGCACCAAAGCTCAATAGGAGAATCCAGTCTTAAAATAGTTTTTACAGTGAACATCTTAAGGGGAAAAAAAATCTCATGAATGTGTGGTATAGGAAAGCTGTGACTGTAGCTAAAATATGCATTATATACATTTTGTATATAGCTCCTGTTTCCTTACATCAATAACATAAGGAAGATGTTAGTACTCCAGTGCTAGGCTCATAAGACCATATCATGGTTTAACATTTGTGAGTTGCTGTGATGGTTTGTGTATTTTATTATAAGGTGTTTCTATAGGGGGAACTGCAGTGCTGTATATGAACCATATAGAACCACTAATAGGAAACCAAAGCTCTCAAGGATGCCCCGAGCGAGAAAGCCTCAAAGCTGTCACCTGTTGTGGCATTACAACATGCTTTGCTTTGGTTTCCTTCATCTTCTCCCTTATGAGTATTTTGTGAAAATCAGCCTGGTCAGCCCTTCCGTCTTGGAATCTGATCCCGGTGGCCGAGTTCCCCATGGGCTGGGTTTGTATTTCTAGGCAGCGTCCTTGGCGCTGTGCTGCGTTGCTGGAGCTGCCTGATGCTGCCGCCTCCTTTTGCATGCCGCCCGTGGAGTTCTGTTCGTTAGAGCAGGGCTCGTTAGCGCAGGGTTCGTAACGGCCTCTCCAGCCATTACAACTGCCTGAAAATTCCCCTACTCTGATTTTAAAGGAGGGAAAAAAGTATCTTCTGTGATTATAAGCTTTTTGTGGCATGCAAATCCCGTAAGAGAATTTGCTTAGTTTTGTGTTAAATCCCATAGAAAGCATCCTATTAGTTCTGTTTTGTCAGCTAGATAAAGTAAGCCTTCCTCTCTCTGAGGCTCTCCGTGGGATGAACTTCATCTAACCTTTGAATGTAGATAGAAATAAATTGAGAAAGTGTGTTGGTCTACATGCTGTTGTTAGCCATGACTAATAAAAATATTTAAGAGCTCTGCAAAGAGGCATTTAAAACGGTGCAGGAAGCTCCAAATACTGCCAATTTCTTTAGCCTAAATAGAGCTAAAGCATCTATGCATCTGCCATAGCCATGGGGCATCAGTTGTTCCAAGATACCTTTTCTCAAAACTGCTTGCAGTGTATAATTTTCTCTCTAGTTTGGCTACCAAACCGTAATTCCTAATGTTGATGCTGCTTGCAGTTTCTGGTAGCAAGAAGCTCTTGCCTCATCTGGTCCATACCTGGAACTTGGTAAGGCGCCTAAGGCTACTTTTGATTAAGGATGCTATGGAACCTGCTCTGAATGACACAGTAACTGATAGGGGACAATACAACGGTCACATGTTCAGTGAGCAGCATCATTCTGAAGAGATTCTTAGGTTCTTTCTTCCTCCTTTTTTGAAGAAAAGATAATTATTCCCAGAATGAATCCCCCTTCATGTAATCCTGGGGCAGCAGTGGCTTTTGGCAGGGATCATTTCACAGGAGTGGCCTCAACATGAGCTGTTGGCCTGGGGCAAGGGCACGACCACAGGCAGTGGGAGTGTGGGAGCAAGAGAGCGAGGCTGGAGCAGGTTGGCCACTTAGGAGCAGCAAAAGTGAGGGAAGCTCATTCAGCTGCAGGGCTAAGTACAGCTTAGGGCTCAGCATAAGCGATTTGCCCTCACAGCCTGGGGGGCAGGATCAAGCTGCAAGTCCTTGCTTGGGTTGAGCTCAACACAGAAAAAATTTTCAGGGCATTGCAGCACCAAATGGAATCCTACCTGGAACATAAGTGGCATCTGTCGGCATTTACTTGGCTTACAAAAGTATTCCTCAGGCTGATTTCAAAAACTAACACATAGAGATGTTATCACATGAAAAAGCAAACTCATTTTGGCAAAAATAAAATCTGTTTTAGAAAACTTACATGATGCCTTCATCTAAAGAGATCAGTGAGCACCTGTAAGGGATAGTTTGAGTGCGTGCCTCTGTCTTGAATTTGTGCTTAATGTTGACCATATTGTTAGCAGAGCTGTTAATAAGTGGCAGCATTTTGAACATGAATAACTGCGAAGTTTCATGTCTAACCCTGTATTTGTCAGGAATTAAGAGTGCTGCAGAGATGACCTGTTTCTCTGTGCTTGGGCCTTTCAGATGACACAAGTGGAAAGGGACCTGTTTTTTTTTCTCTCTCCAAGTCTCTTTCATAAAGCAGCGAGGACAATATGTACATGAGAAATGTGCTTTGAGTTCAAAAGTGAGAACTAYTTCTTCATATCTGTTAGGAGAAACCTGCATCTTTTTTATCAAATACCTTTGTTTGTAGGCTCACTTGCTAGAAAGAGTAGATCAGACGTTCTCCAAGAGTGACTTGTGCTGCTGTTGAAATCCTGTCACATACTGTCCTTGCAGAGCCATGTCCATCTGGGATAACAACCTCCAGATTACGACAGTGTGCAGCGTTCTAGGGGCCTGGTTTGGAGCATTTCCTATTCCTCTCGATTGGGATCGGCCTTGGCAGGTTAGCATCTATACCTTTATTGTAAATATACACATTTATCTTCTGGATATGCATRCTATATAAAAATTGCTGTGAAAATATAAAGATATTTAGGGCTTTACTGATAAATTATTTCTACAGGGTCGTGCTAAACTATACTTAATATGTCAGTATAAGCATCCATTTTCCATGTTTACTGGAAGTAAAATGCAGATTTTCTTTTAACCTCCATTTTAATAGTTTTTCTTATAGATTTGTGAGCATGTCTGTAACTATAATGAAATACTATCATTCAAAGCTATCATTCAAAGAGTTTGATAGGAGGAAGGTATACAGGTAGGGGAAATGTGAAATGAAGAAGATGACTCCCTTTAATCTTGCCTATTTTTTGCTTACAGATAGGGAAGAAAAGATGGTTTCCTAGTGTTTTGGTCCCCTTTATCTTCCATGAAAGCACTAACCAGGAATGCATTTAAAATGGATTTAGTGTGATTTGTAGTACAAATCACAGCCTTGTACTAAGAACTTACCTCCTGGCTTCAAAGGAAGAGCTGACGAGGATTAGCTCCATGGTTCCGTAGTAAGAAATGTGAAGCAGGCTTGGCAGATTCTGTTTTTGTAAGTTCACTGTCCATACTAGTCTGTTATTTTTATTGGCATAAACCAAATATAACCACCAAAGTCTGTAATTAGGGAATATATAGAGTATAAAAGATTTTTTTTCCCCTCTGAAAACACTTGTTCTCAGTTTCACAAGATGTTTCTCTCATGTTCTTCTGAGGAAGGTGTCTGATGGCACCAGTCTGTTGTTGATGGAGATTCCTGAATATCATCCAAAAACGGAGTCAGTGCAATGTGGCCTCATATATTGAAAGTCTTCATCTCTTGTCTCAAGGAGACACAGGCACCTCTTCAGTTAGGATGTTAAAATGTAAGGATATTAAATGTTAGTAGACACTTCTGTTCTTCGAAGCTGCGGGGACTGTTCCCAGTCTCCTCCTTGAAGCCAGGCGACCAGAGAAACTCCTGGCAGATTCTTTCACTAGAGCAATGACAGGAGAGGCGCTTGACACTTGAGCTTAGGAGGAACGAGAACGGCTGGTTTGGGAAGAGTATCTTGCATGTGATTATCAGCGTCCTGGGTCCCTGAGTTACAGCATATAACACTGGATATAAAAATACCAATGTACCCCAGGCCATTCAAAACAGGCCATTCCAGCAGCACCCTATCCTGAACGGGTCTGTATCTCTGCTTGATCAGGATTTAGCAGATGCTCTGTCAAATCTAGGGTCTGAGTGTAGTGCCATCCAGAGAGCGCTTCATTCGGAAAGCCACTTCCATGAAGTGACGGTTTTATTCACAGAGAAGGCTTCAGCTGACCCTGGCGTGAAGCAGAGGAGGAGGCTGCAGGCGGGCAGGAAGGTGGGCGCCGGGCATGCTTGGAAGTGCCCGTGCCACTCTGTGAGCCACCTGTTCCCTGCCCTGCCGGAGCTGATGTGTATAGCAGCGCTTCTCATATCACTTTGGGGAAAAAAGAGCACTTGAGGCCAGCAATTTTTTTTGCTATATTGATGCTAAAATCTTTTCCCACGCTGAAGAACTGAAAAATGACCAGGGAGTCATTTCTTCACATCGTGGTTGAGATATTAATTCGTAGTACCATTCATAGTACCATTCCTTGCGTCTGCCTGATCAGAAAATCATATTTCAGTTTGTCCACCTTATCTTTCACAATAATTTACTGACACTTCAAAATCATACAGAGCGAGCAGGATAGGAAAGTCATCATCAGGAGTTCCAATTGGTCTGTTAATGGCTAAAATCAGAACGCCACTTCAGCCTTCGTTTTTCATAAAGCGAGGAACCCACACTGTTGCTTTACACACAGACAACAAAACCAAGGTTAAAAACAGATGTCTCAGAAAAACTTTATTTTCCACGTTTGTATTTTGAAAAATATATTTCATACAGGGGATATTCAGACTATTGGACTTATCTACATTTCAAAAAAAGATGTAAAATGCATTCTTTTTCTTAGCATACAACCATTTTTAYTTTAAACTTAATAGGAAGAGAATATTGCTTTGAAAATAAAATTATAGTCATTGAATAATGCTTCAAGATGGAAGTGAAAAATAAAGCACTTTTGTTAGACATATAAAATATGTTRCTAAAAGTTGGTATTCTCATGATTGATTGATCTTCACTACACTCATCTTTAAAGAGAAGTAACTTTTTATATGTAATTTGTCTTTTGGGACTATGCAAAAGAGCCTAAGCAGACCTCCTCAGTGTGCAGTCCTTACTGGTGTAGGTGTAGTTCTGCATACCTACCCGAGGCAAGAGTAAAGATGTAAAAAATATATGTCCTTACAAGAAYGCAAGCAAAGTAATCCCTACATTTAGGTTACATTACAAAAACCTTTCCACTGGCAYCCTGTACAGGACATGTTTCGGCTTAGTACAGTTGTCAGAGTTGGAGCATGATTTGGAAATGTCTCCAGATTGCTATCTAATTCTTAATTTTAAAAATAATCTTTGTGGGATTTAATTGTGCTGTTTTCAATGAGGCCACCTTGGGTGATGTTCAAAGGGCTTGAAGGACTGTGCATGCCTGTCTTGTTACCTCAGCCCCCGATCCATAAGGGCCATGTAAGGGTTCTAGCCAAGAAGCAGGAAATGGGTTCCTTTGCTACACTTGCACGTGTGCATGTGTACATACACATGTGCACACACATGCCCCTTCTCTCAAAGCACTTTACAAAACACTACCTAATTATGGTAGAGCTTTTAAAAAGTACCCTGAAGTCACCTAGAAGGTGGAACCGTTTGCTGTTAACGCTCGTGGTGCTGCACAGACGTGATGGGATGTCATTTCACATGAGTGAAACGGCAGTTGGAGTGCGGTCAAATCAATGCGGCGCTTTGCTAAGTGTTGGCAAAAGTGCTGTGGCATCTCAGGAGTCGGATTTGTGTGGCTGGTAGTCCTCAGAAAAGGTGCAGGGGAAGGAGACTTTCAAAATGATCTTTAGTAAAGCACGTTTCCATGTGAAATACTCAAAAAAGGTAACTTTTTAGGCTGACAATTTCAAGTTGATGTTGTGCTTGTAATGTACACCRTCACGTGGCACCTTAGAGCACTACCCTGCCTGTGTCACTGAAGCAGAACGGAGTCATTTAGATCTTACTAGACACACTGTGACACATTTATTTATTTATTTATTTATTTATTTATTTATTTATTTATTTATTTTTCTGGGCGTAGATTGATAAGATTTAGTTGCAGAAGGCAGAGGTATAATCTCCAGACACCCCCTACCCCATTCTTCTTTGAAAAAAACTGAATTTTGGAGATAGTAAAGTTTTCTTGTTTGATTGCATTATTTTACTACAAGATTCTTAAAATCCCTGCCTCTGTTCATGTTCTGTATACCTCCACATAAGCATACACACATGCACCCATGTGTAGTATAGTATCTATAGTAACTGTAGCTACTGAATAAAAAGTGACTTTGAAACAACCTTTTGTCTAAGGTGTTTTCATATAATTAAAGTGAAAACAAAGCAGCTGCTCCCACTTTGTACCGTTGACTTAACACAAATGACCTGAGTACCGTGTGATTTAGCTAATGGGATTGTAAATATTAGCCTGGATACCTCACGGCCTCTCTGTGAGACTCTTGCCTCCAGCTGTTAGTCTTTTGAGACTGGACTACACCCTTGTGCACTGCCTTGCTGCTCCTAATGCAGTCAGAGGCTGTCCTTACTGTTCTGCTTTTAGATGTATTACCAGCTGTGAAAGTTGGGCTGCAAAAGAAATTGCCCTAGAGGAGGAGACAGGGAAATATCCTGGGTTCTTTTAAGCAGAGGTAGAAGTTTGTTCCACTTTGCTGGGGTTATCACTGCTCATTTAATGGTGTGTTTTCTTTATGTAAACCTTTGCGGGGCAGATCAAAGCCAGTGCTGCWTTCTATGACTTTACAACACAAACTCAGGAAAACAACTGCTAGGTACAAATGTCACCCTGCAAAACCTCCCCCTTTCCTCAGCACGTGCTTCGCAACACCTGCACTCTGGACAGCACGGTAAGAAACTTGCACTTAGCGTGCATGTGCAGCCACAACAGATTAAAGGCAGGTAGTGAAATCTTTAAGACACTATGGATTAAACAACCATGAATTTAAGGCATGTTAGAAAGTGGGAGGGCAAGCGATTATGCTCATTTATGAAGTTTTTGAAGGAAACTCACTGAAGTTCTTAGTTTGGTTTTTTTTTTTTAATTGACCAAAATGGATCTTTTGAAAAAGTAAGCACACAAAAAAAAATCACAGGCCAGGAATATGAGGAGAACACTCAGCGAGCAAATGGAACCTTTTTTTTTTTTTCTAAAAGAAGCAAGTACAGTAGATTACCCCACTATATTTGCATTTATATTRTTAACCTTCCAGCAGTCAGCAGAATTTAATATTTTTAATCTTTTAATCTTTAATATTGCATTAAACAGCTTTATGAGCGTGTTACTGTCAGCTCTGGCCACTAAGAACCTGGCCTTTACGTCCTTATCCACATATAAATATATAGATACATATAAAGAGATGCGATTCCTGTCGCACGCTTTAACAGAGGGCCAAGCTGCCGTGTAGCCCGTGCTGTGGCTTAGCCAGCTGTGAGCAGAGCGCGGCCCTGCCAGCTGCTCAGCCCTTGTGCTTACAGCAAGTTCCGGGATGGGTTAGAAAGTGAGCGCGTCTGCAGTGCCTGTTCAGCTGGCCTAAGGCAATCCCTGTTAAATAGCAGCACCGCAGCCAGATGGGAAGGAAAGAAAGGAAGAACGAACGAACAGGTGCAGGGAAAATTACTACTTGAAGCAAACAGCAGAAGTCAGGATTGTTTTACGTGAAGCACTGGCCCATGCTCTGTCCCTTACAAGGCAACCAGTTTTGCTTGTTGAGCGTATACGTGAAGATTTGGGGTTTTTTCCCCAAGCAACTGTGCAGAGTGCTAGTAATCATACATATAGTGCTAGAATTGGCCTGGCTGCACATGCACTTGACATGGAAGCTGCCTGTTTTCACATCAGCCTGTGAGGGTGCTAGGTGCTGCTTCCCAGCTGCTGGAATAGCCAGGGCAGTTCACAACATGTTTCTGAAGAGTGTTCTGGCCTATCCCCCTTGCTGCTCACACTCGTCTCTTCAAAAACAACTTTCTTCCACCTCAAAAAAAGGGCAGTYGGGGAGCTTGCCTCAGTTTCTCAGTAGGAGAAACTGAGCTGTGTAGTTTTCAAAGGGTGAAAGGGCTGGCTTATGAGTTGCATACTTTAAACAAGTGGAATGAAATCCTTCGAATAGGCAGAGGCTGCTTAGATTTAGGCAGCTGGTAATTAGTCAGGGAGGCCAACCTGAATTTAAGAGAGAATACAGAAAATAGGTCAGAAGCAGACCACTGAAGTCAATTATAAAAGGTTAGGCAGCGAGTGGCTGGATCTCAGAAAGTAAGGCCAGAAGCTTGTTGCCGACGGGGGTCGGCAAGCCTTGTTCGCTAGCTGGACTGACCTGGGGTTGTCCTCACCCCAGGGCCCTGGAGCACAGTTATCACTATGGGGGATGCGGCAAAAKGGCVATTATTGCGCAGTTCAGTCTGCCTATATACYCCAGCTGAATGCGGAAACTCACCTACTGCCCAATCGGGAGACTAATTTCTACTTTTCGCCTTGTATGGCATGGGGTTATCAGTAAACTGCATAAATTAATTATGCTCCTAACTCCCGTGACATCGCGAGATCTTCCGAGCGCCATGCCCTAAGCTCTATGCCCTATGCTATACTATATCATCTAYTTTCGCTAAGCTCTCTAACTTATTAAGCCCTAAAAACACAAAAACGCCTACAAAGCTAATGCAAAATAAAGCAGCCCCCTTTCACTGGTGTGCAAGCTGCACTGCATTTACTAGTGGACAAACAGCATAAGCAGGGACTGTTATTTCAGTGCAGCTGATGTGCTGAAGAGCTGCATCTTAGGCTGCCCCTGGCTGACTAACTTCTTTAGATGCACCCTGGCATGCAGCTAGCTCTGCGCAGCCCAAAGGCCAGGCCGGTAGTCCAGCAGGAAGGGTGCCAAGCTACTGCCGCTACCTTCACAGGGTTTGCCCTTCCTTAGGGGTTAGAGGGAAAAAGCAACTCCCTTAAATCCAGGGCTTTAACTCCCGAGCATAGGGAGGGCCACCTGGCCGGAGCAGGCCAATGAAATGGCCCTCAGAACCGCTCTGGGCCACCAGGGCCATGGAGTAAGACTGAGTATCYGGCCTGGCATCCTGCTCTTCTGTGCCACTAGGAGAGATGAGCTAGTCAGAGAGGCAGGGGCTCTCATTCCTCTCCCTGGCCCCTTACCTTTGCCAATGGCCGTTAGTGAGGGGTGGGTTTCAGAGGGTCTCRTGTTAAGTGACAAAGTCTGGAGTGTCTGCGAGGTAACTGATTTTAAAAAGGGAAGCAAGGACTGCACGGTTTGGAAGGCAGACAGAGGCACTGTTAATATGAAAAGTTGAGTAATTTAGGAGAACTGTTCAGAAGCTCATCTCCAGGCTGTAATTCAAACAGAATAAGCTGCAACCATCATCAGAGATCCTTTTAATCAAACCAGCAAATGGCTCGTTATACACACAGTAGCAAAAGATACAGGGGCTGTGGGATTACYGGGAATACTTATTAGCTAAAGGAACACAAAAGTTTCAAGCAATCCTAACAACATCAACCTATACTTCTGAAAAGCAGATAGGCAGCTACAGATTCACCTAATGTAGGTAAAATTTAATGAAGGATTATTGATCAGTCGCAGATAGTGAACTTGAATGCAAAAAAAAAAAAAAAAAATTGCTAAGTCCTGAAGCCTTTGTCCATAGTTTTATGGTTATTAAAGAGGTATTTAGCTTGACCAATGGACAGGAAAATATGATTTATGTTTCAGCTAAATCTTACTGAGTGAGCAGCTTTCATAGCTAAGGTAAACATCCTATTTCTGCAGGGACATTTTTGTTGTTCTRTACTTTACACATACATAATGACCCGCAAAAGCCTAGAAAATAACTTGATTACATTACATTTAACAGTTGAAAAGATCCACCTGAAGCATAAGTTTAGCCAAGGCCACAAACTCAAGTGAGTTTTAAATATGCACAGTATCTTATCATGCCTAAATATCTCAAGGCTTTTTATAGAAAATCTGTAATGACACTGTTAAATGAATGGAAACGAACAAGTCTTTGGTTTGGCAGGCAATAGCCGAAATATTCTGCAACAAAAACWAAGAGCAGAAATGGCCAGAAATAGAAGAATGAAACAAGGTCAATAAAGAGTACCTAAGGCACCTTGTTTATAGTCATCTTTGCTACACTCCTTAAGACCTCCAAAAAACATAAAAACTGCAAGTGCTAAGGAATGTGAAAATGAAATAGCAAAGGACAAAAAAAAAAGTTACTCCAAGTTAAAATTCCCATGATCAAAAATATGAAAGAATATACTTCTCCATGCCATAGTGAAATAAAGTGAGGCCACGGAGCTGAAAACTTAGTGAAAGGAGGAACAGTACCATTTCGAATAAGTTGGTTTGGTACTCATGAATTGCAAGTCAAAATAATTAAGAAGGCTGGACACAGAGGGGTGGATRTTTTCTTCAATGTCTAGTGCATCTCCCAGTCTGCTTAAGGACTGTAGAAGGTGGAAACATTCCCCTTACTAAAAAAATTAGAAAAGGAAAGAAAGGGGAGGAGAACACAGTCCACACCTGCTTCAGGGAAATGAGTTGAACTGTAAAATTGCCCTTGGGAAAAAAATATACAAAGCAGAATTTTGAGGAGTGAAGGGAACACAGTTTACTCTGCAGTAAAGAGTTTTATCCACCAACTGATGTGGAATTTCATTGAATGCAATATTTAGTTGACTGGTAAAGTCTGCCATATCTAAGGATGGACTGGTTAAAGTTCCCTCCTCCATGAAATTCAGTTAAAAAAAAAAAAAGTGGGATGGGGGCAATCACATTACTTCTTTGTCTCAATGCTAGAGGCTTGTGAAAACAASTCCTCTGTATTGAGTCAGTTCCCTGGCTTTATACTAGGAAATAAATCCTTCTGGATTCTTCAACATTATTAACTTGCTATGTGTTTGCTAAACTGGATGCAAGTTAGTTCAGTCCATTTCCAAACTTACATTCCCTTCCTACCACTAGCCAGAGGGAAATTCATCCCTTTGCCTACTTTTTAAGACCAAAAAGAAAAAAAAAATCTATTTCTCTCTCAGTGCATGGCCTAATTTGAAAATTAGTTCAGTTATACACATCTCTAACAGGATCAGAATGCCATGGGAGACTGGGATAAGAATTTGCAAAAAGATCTTTAACTTCCAAGTGTGTGCAACAGAATGGGAAGTTAGATCTCCAGTAAATAYAGCTGAATTCCTTAGGGAATGTAAACTTAAGCTATTCACATAGTTCGGGGAGTATCTAACTAACAACCAAAGCTATCAAACTGCAATAGCCAGTAGCCTGGTGACCTTTTAATGCACATTACTTAAAACTGTACAGCAGCATTTAGTGTCCATGTTGATGTATGTATGATTGTTACCCTTGTAGCATTTTTAGGAGAGCATATCAAACTTCCATAGAATAAGACTGTTGTTTTCCAGTATTTAGATTACACTGAGAACTTGTGCTCACAAAGTACAAAGCCCCCCACAAACATTTTTTCTTATTGTCTGCTTTTACCTGTTACGCTCTCCTCAGGTCTGGCCCATTTCCTGTTCCCTCGGAGCTACCTTTGGCTACCTGGCTGGTCTGATTATTGCACCTTTATGGATACACTGGAACCGGAAGCAGCTTACATATAAAAGCAGATAACTGGAGCAGAGAGGGACAAGGTATTTCTTTGTGCAGATTCATACAGACTGTGCAAAAGTTTTATAGAGATATATTTATATATATATATATATATATGTATAATCAAAGCAAAAGACTATCCAAATTCCTTTTGAATATTTTGGGCCAAGCATCTCCACTGAACAGCATCACGTGGATGCTCTTTCAACATGGTGCAGTTGTTGCTTTCTCTAGACAATGTAACCCTGAGAGAGAGTATACCTTCCAGTCTGAATAAAATATTTGCAACAGATGTGGTGGTTTCTTATTACAAGTTCTTTGAGTTTGATTTTGTCCCTCTGGATTCCACTGGTTGTAGAAGGCAGAGTCATAGTTTTAGCTTTCAAGCCTGTAACAAGTTGGCTGTGTACTTAATGCATTGTATCTAAAGTCGGTAGAATTTCACAGTAAGCCTGGCCGTTGTCAAATATATCTCACGTGATCAAGCAGCAGTTTATGCACCTTGAGCCTATTCTCTTCTTCACCGTGTGTTTCTTTGGAGTTAGAATGGCTATAATAGCTTCATCAAAAACAGTCTTCAGTCCTTTCTGTGTTAAAGCTGAACACTCCACATAGCAGTAGGCTCCTATCTGTCAAGAAAACAAATTAGTTCAGTAGCAATAGATTTCAGCCATATTCGGAACCACTGGCAATTTCTGCAATTTATTTCTACGGTGATGCTTCAGYATTTGGATGGGATCTAGAAAAGGCATCTCAGCGTGGTTTCCCTCTAGCAAAACAGAACATTGRCCAAAAGACACAGATCTGCAGCTTGCTTGAGCTGGTTTAGTTTCAGAAGGAAGCATGTGAAAGCAGCTCTTCACACTGGCAGTAGAAACCTCTGGCATTTTTGATAACTAATGTAAATAGCAAAAAAAAAAAAAAAAAAGAATTATACGGCCAATTTATGTTTCAAAAATAAGTCTTTATAAGTGTCCTGATAGACAGAGCCCACCGGTGTGTTAAAAGAGTTGTGCAGTATTCTGAAATATTTTCCCAAAGACGCTTCCAGTATCTAATTATCCCCTGCTTGTGTAGTTTGTACACACAAAGTTAGAACCATTGGTAATAGGGAAATGCTATTTATATCAGCATACTGGTTAGCTTAGTTGAACTATATAACAACATCTTGCTCGCTGGTAAGCGGTCATATATTGCCTAGGAAAATAAATGAGCAAAACAAGGAAAAAATCGATTTGAAATAGTTGTTTGTCTCTTTGCTACTTAGTTTCTTTAGGAGTATCCAGTTTACCTCTTTTGCTAACTTCTGTCCTTGATCCACAGATATAGGCTTCTCTTTCATATCATTCAGTCTTGCCAGAGTTTTGGGGTCATCACGAAGATCAATCTAGCAAGAAAGATTGCAATCAYGTGGAACAGCTATATGCATTTTAAACACAAGTCTGCAGGCTATATGATACCCTCCTTTTAAAACATTATTTACTTAATTATATAAAAAAAATGGATCACATCTATCCTTATGGATCTAAAAGCTCGGGAAATTTAAGCTGTTAACAACCTTTCATTCAGAAAGAGTAAATATTTATTTCCTAATTCAGCTTTTCAACTACGTGTCTCAGAATATCAGAATGTATCTCCAGAAGTGGCAGCAAGATTAATACAAGCAGCGTGGGTCATCTTACAATTGAAGTCCAGTTCACAGCCCACAAAAGCCAGAGGAAATTATCTCACTCTTCACAGAATCACACAGAATCACAGAATGCTGAAGGTTGGAAGGGACCTCTAGAGATCAGCTAGTCCAACATCCCTGCTCCAGCATATAGAGCATGTGGCACAGGGTGGCATTCAGGCAGGTTTGGAAGCGCTCCAGAGAAGGAGACTCCACAAGCTCCCTGTGCAGCTTGTTCCAGGGCTCTGTCACCCTCACAGTGAAGAAGTTCTTCCTCATATAGAGATGGAACTGCCTGTGTTGCAACTTACACCCATTGCCCCTTGTTCTGTCACTGGCCACCACTGAGAAGAGCTTGGCCCCCTCCTCCCTACATTCCCTCTTCATGAACTTATACATATTAATCAGATCCCCTCTCAGCCTTCCCTTCTTCAGAGAAAACAGGCCCAACTCAGTCTCTCCTTGTTCGAGAGATGTTTCAGTCCCTTAATCATCTTTGTTGTCCTCCGCTGGACCCTCTCTAGAAGTTTTATAGAATCACACAGAGAGAAGCAGCCAGCCTAGCCACCCTGTTTAAGATCTCCACATACTCACATAACAGTGCATTTGCTTTAACAAAATTTACTTTTAACAAAACTTTAAGTCCTATTGCTTATGCTTGAAGCCCAAAGAAAGGACACCACAGAAAGATCAGAAATATTTAAATAAAACAGAACCAGATATACCTGTGTTCCTACTAATARAAAGGGTACGTTAGGTGCATATTCCTTTAACTCCGGTACCCACTCTTCCTTCACATTTTGAAATGAAGCAGGGTTTACCACTGAGAAGCAGATAAGGAAGACATCGGTCATAGGGTAAGATAAAGGTCTCAGACGATCATAGTCTTCCTGAGAAAGAAAAATTCTGTTATCTGCAATATTAAACTGTCACTTATATTCTGTTCATTTTAACAGTGATATTCAGGAACTGTATTCATATTTCAGGAGGTTTGCTGAAGCAAGCCTTCTGGCTTTTACAACATTTCCAGGTTAGTTGGTGTGGCTGTTAGTGCAAAATCTGCATATGAAGGTGATGTATGTGAATATATGTGAAAAAACACTCTGGCCGTGTTACTACCACTAGAAACTTACCTCTGTAATAAGATCTACAGAAGACTGTCCTTTAAAACGTTCCCATTTGTAAAGTTTCTGGTTAAAATATACTTGCTGGGGTCTGTTTGAAGAGAAACGGGCATATGTACCTGCCGCAGAGTGATCCAASTGGCACAAAACTGGCCAGATCCTAACTGTCCCATGTAGTTTACCAGGGGCCTTTTCCCTTTTGGATTTTGAGGTGATATTAAGTCCTTCCTTAGCATTTTATGGGGTAAAAACTGTACTGTCTTGTTGCTGACGATCAGCTCAGGCACAGTAGGGACCAGAAGGCAGCTCCTTTGTCTAGACATTGCTTTGTGTAGCAGAGTAACCTCAGCTAATAGTAGGAAGGAACCAAAGTCAAASAGCAAGTGTGTTTTAAAGAGTAGGAGTAGTGTTTATCAGGAGAAAAAGCCACCCAAAAGACATTAGTGCCTTCTTGTGGGGCAGGGAGGAGAATGAAGGCGAATGCCTGTGAAAAGGTGGTAGCTGCTGTGGTTTGGAGGTGCAGCACTGGGGTCACAGTGTGGCGGTGCCCGCAGCAGCAGAGGCAGCGAGCAGCGCGTGGCGCTCTGGAACAGGGCTGGGGCCTCCAGGAGGAGAGGTGGAAGGCACCTTTCACCACCTTTTGGGGTAAGGAGGAGAACAGGCCCCACTTCTCTCTGCAAGACTTGGGCTGGTCTGGGGCACCAGACCAATGCCTTACTGCACCTACTTCACTCTTTTTTGTTAAACATAACTGAGACTGACCCGAGGCACTGCGCAGGGAGCAGTGCTAGGTTCGCATTTGCTTCTCCACAGCAAACCCCAGCTCAAGGTTAATCAGTGGGCTGCAGCTGCCTCCCTCCTCCCTGTGTAAGATCCCCATCTCAATTAAATCTCACAAATGTTGGAACGCTTTGTTCATTAAATGCAAAGACAGAAGTGTGCTTCAACTCCATGTTTGAAACAAGTCAGAAAGTTCAATTTTCATTTCCTTGGAAACTGTCACATTAACAGATATTAATTGCATAGCTGCACCCTCAAGAAGGTCTTCACTGACTAGTTGGAAAGACTGTGTCACTAGAGTTCCAGAAAACGTAGGAGAACCTCCCTAGTTTAGACTCTGCTAGCCCTCTTTCCTTTTGAAAGAGTACACCTGTGGGAAAAGAGCACTTCTCCCATCATTAGACAGAGAAAAGACACATGAGAACATCCCCTCTGAGGTGCCTGTTTAAGAAGGTGACCACTTGCCAGTACTCCATAGTGTCTGTTTTCAGAATATTCTTGCTTATAATCTGTATTCTGACGTGCAGCTCTGGCTGCAGAGACTCACTCAGTCGTGTATGTGCTGTGGTTTTGTCAGTAAGGYAGACCATGCTTAGCTGTAAACAGTTACACAAATTTGCAACTCTACATGAAATATTTGGCAGGCATTTTTGGAGACCAGYTGTTTCTCTACTAAGGTCAGCTCCTATCCCGCTTCATAAGAAAAAGCTAGTCTCCACAGCAGCACAACCTCAGTGGTATTTACTACAGAAAGCAGAAATAAACTTTTCAAAAAATTCACAAGAACTTGAATCTATTCAACATTCTTTTTTTTTAATTGTGTATTTTATGTTTCACTTCTGCCATTTGATATAGTTAGAGCCTGCTCAGAGTAGTCACTTTGTTTTCTTTTGTGGGGATTAAAAACCTAAAAGAAGCTTCTCAATTGCAAATTAGACCAGTGTCTGGAGTATCCAATCTTGCTATGAGTACATGAGAACATGCAGGCAGATCAGTCAAGCAATCTCAAATTCAGATTTACTAAATGATATGTTGAGTATTACTGAGAAAGTATCTAATTTTAAAGTAACCTAAAGAATTCCTAGTTTGCAACCATAATTTATTCCCACCACTAAAGAGTTCCTTCACTACAAAGTCTTATCCTGGGTTATAGTAATTAGAGCCCTGTCTGCATTAAATATTGGATTGGCGAAAGCATCTCACTCTCACCAGGAGTTACCGCTAGCCCGCTGACTCTAATTAGTCCATTTCCGCAGACAAACTTTTTATGCCTGGCAAATACTTCTCATTTTCAGAAGTGAAAGGCAGGTCACATTTGCATAACTTAAAAGACTTGCATATTGGGTTTATCGAGCCCTGCTGGATACTAATCTTTGTACATTGATCCACGTCTTGGTAACTGCACCTCCCCTCCTAATTGTCAGTGGACACCTGGAAGTGTCCCCCCAATCCTACTAGTTACAAGAAGTCAGTGCTCTCAGGCATCTCCTACTTAAGCCTTGTCTGTGCTACCAAAACCATCTTCATACTGATACAGTATGAAGAACTGTATTAAAAGTATGTTTTAATGAAACTCTTAATTCTAATGTAGCCTCCCACTATATTCAGTACTRTGATGATTACTCTGATCCCGGGTCCTGCTAAGACAGATCATGAGTTAAATATCACCAACATCCAGTAGTCCATCTATGCTGAAGATTCCACACCCCAACTACCCCCAGAAATAATGATTAACAACTAAAACTTTCTCTCAGGTATTGGGCAAAAATAATTGTTGCAGTTAGTAGAAGGATCAGAAATATCATATGAATTTAGACTGCATATTAGAGAAGCCTGCAAAAATCTGATTGCTTCAGCTGTCATTTATTTCCTAAATCTAGTATACATGAAATAAATGTGTTTTAGTCTAAAATTAAATGCAAGGGCAAAATCTAATTATATTACTCAGTCAACATAAATTCCAATTTGAGTGCACACACTGTACAGCAATTAAATCTCCAAATTAATTTGGGGAGGCATTGCATATATTTTGTGGCACTAAAAACATCTAAAGAATTTAACTGGAATATTTTCCAGAACAGAATGGGCAGGAAATCCACTGAGCATCAATAATGTACAGTACACTCCTCAAAAATCCGGTTTAGTGAGGCAGCTCATTCCACAGTATACTCTGTATTTTAAATGAAATCATTTGCCATCTGCTGAAGCAGATGAATATGGATAAGAAAACATAAATATAAGGAGGGTAATAACAACTTTAAACAAACTGGCTGCAAGTGTGTCATCTGAATCGATGGTATACAGAGCTTCAGTCCTCTATGGACGCCCTGTAAAAGGTTTTATATTGCAACAAGACCGTCAATTGGTATCACTGGGATAGCTCAAGACAGCTGCCAATACGGCAAAGAGACAAGATGTAGGAACTAGGGATTTGTCGCAGCTTCTCAACTACAAACTGGTGGGTTGGCTGGTTGGTTTGTTTCTGGTAGAAAGGAAGAAAGGAAATTCATACTTTTAAAATTTTGTTTCCCTCTGGATTTAATTTTCTAAAGCTGAATCTAGTATTTATTTTAGCCCTTTAAAATCTCTCCTTTATGCCTGTTCTTCCATCTAATAATTCACTTCTCTCTGTTTTTCCTTTTGCCTTGTTTTGAAATACTGAATCACTACATTCTACCCTGTTGTGGATGTTTGGATGGACTTGTTCTAGCATATCCAAAACCTGGCCTTTTCTTTTCCGAGTAGCTAAAGGTCAGGGAAAGATATCTCTGGATTTTTTTTTTTTTTCCTGCAGACTGTAGAATAGTCTTGCAATTCTGCGGGAGAATATCCTTCTTTCTTTCAAGGGTTTACTCAGAGTAAAAGGCAGAATTCACTGCTGCATTTCAAGCAAGTTGTATAATTGATTTTATATTAATACTTTTGCCCAGTGCCATGGATGTGAGCTGGAGGGCATGGTTAAAAACACACAAACTGTATTCCCAACTCTGCCGCTGACACATTATATAGCCCTGAGCAAATCATTATCCTCTCTTCACTTGCATCTTCCCATCTGTTAGGGTGYTCCAGAGGGGTTTCCTGGCTTAATAATACACTAGCCTTTGCAAAGCACTCCAAAAGCCTTTAATACACACAGCTTATGTGCAATGGGGTATTTCAAAAAATAAATTAAGACATGCTAAAGTTTAATAATGCCCTGGGCAACCTTCTTGACCCACACAAAGCAGTATTTGCTCATAGTTATTATGAAACCTAAGCGGTGCAGTCATACCTGAGATCCACATTATTGGAGCCTGTAGCTGCCCTGAATTATCATGTCAGCCTCCTCCATGAGCACGTCCAAGTGATGAAAACAGTGATCATTACCCCTCTCTCTCAGTAAAATGAGACTGCAGGTCTCTCACCTCTGGAATGATACTAGGGTCTCTCTGTACTCTTTGGAGAGATGACAGGTAACTAGAGAAGCCCTCTTGGTAGTCAGTACCTTCTGGCACCTTGACAAGCTGTTTGGGCAGATTCACACCTCTTGGATCTGCTGCTAAAGGTCATCAAAAGATTTTCATCTAGATCTGTTTGGGTTTTTTTTCCTCACAGATATGAGGACTAGCTTCTCATAACAAACAAGAGAAACCAAATTCTTAAATATCATAGCATTAGTAGCAAGGTGTGTCATGCTTATGTTTTAATCCAAGCCTGGTTTGTTATACTTGTATGAAAACCAAAGTAAAGAATTTTGTGTCTCACAACTTAGAAACTTAACTCTACACATCCAAATAAAACCGAAACAGTCTTAGAGCACAAGGGCAAGCCTATTTCTTTAATATCCTAAGAAGGTGCAAGACTAGGGGGAGGGTCAAGCTTGCACTGCTCTGGCAGAAAAGCTGGAACTTGACAGCTCTGGTTTGTGATCTCTGTGTTAGCAACCATCTGTTGCTTTCACAGCTTACAGCAGCAATCACAAGAGGAGGTTCTCACTCCCAACCATC